ATATATATCTTTGATGAGTAGTATTTTTAAAAAAATTAATTGTCTACAACGCTATAAAGATTTATAAGCAATTAAAAGTATTAATTACTAAAATAGAATAAAAATTATTAAATTATATTCAGATGATGTTTTAATATAAACAATAATTTTTAAATCTTGCCCCAATCCTTAACATCTTATGGCTGCGTGATTAGGGTTGTCCAAATGACTCTTTGTTCGTGAATGGTGTTCGTCTCGCTAAGCAAACGAGCCGAACACGAACACACTTTTTGAGCTCGAAATATAAGGGAGTCGAACACGAGCTGAACCTGGTCTCGCTCGTGTTTAGCTCGTTTACACCCCTATTTTCAGGCATAAAGAAGATGGTATGTATATAAAAATTGAAGATATATAAATAGATTAACATTTGCGAGGTATATATATGTAAATCTTCATTTTTTTTTTTTAAGTTGGGGCAGATACATAATTAGCAAATGAAACTTTGCTATTTACAAAACTATCATGTTCTTTCATCTATTTTTAGAATCTCACTCAAATATCAAAATTCAACAAGTTTTTATGTTTTATCAAATTCCCGCACTAGTTTAATAGCTCAATAAAAAAAGAACCTTAAGTGCTAGTTTTATGAATAACAAAATTTTGGGTGCTATATGCATATAATTATCCCTGTTTTTAATAATTTAACACCCATAATTAAATGAAGTTTCAACTATGTAGTAAAAGAGAAAATGTCCAAAATGATTTCTATTTACCAAATCTGGGTCAATTAATTAGATTGACTTGGCGTTAAATAGTGAGATTGACCACCCTAAAATGTCCCCAGATTAAATTGATTCATATTTGAAGAGCAGAGGGACTAAATTGAAAATCCTAGAAATCTGGAACTAAAATAGACAAGTAAAAAAATTAGTGACTATCCTCATGATTTAATCAAATGAAATTCCTATGAGAACTATCAGTTGGCTCTAACAGATAAATAATAATAATAACAAAACAAAATTTCCTTGGGTGAAGAAGCAAATGAGCAAAAGAAGTTGATAGCAGTTGAGGCCCTCATGGGGAAAAAAAGTTTTCCAGACAAAATAGGGTCAGAATTTCGAAAACTAATAGTCAAGCATTAACATAAGTATGATTTATAAGCTTAGAAAAGGTCATAAAAAAACTTCGTGAGGTATGAGAGAGTGAAACTTTATAACGACGAGAAAAGTAAATCATGATTGATCTAGTAGCTGTTAGATTTATTAATGCGGGGTGAGGATCACGAGATTTCCCTCCCGCATTCCAGATGCTTGGAACGGCCGATCCCGGCATGGGAGAGTTGGCACCTCCTTTCAACAAAGGGGCCCAATCCAAATTACATGGGGCTTATATTTGCTCATGTTTTATGTTTTCAGTTTTGCGTCCGCTTTGTGCTGGGACAGCCGTCGGCATCTCCGATTTTACATTCTAGGGCTATATAAAAGAGCGAGTGGTGGCTATC